GGACACGCTCTGTGCTGGGCTGCGTGGGTCCGGGGCCTGGGTGTTGAGATGCCCTGTTTCCTGGGACACGCTCTGTGCTGGGCTGCGCGCCTTGGGAGCGACGTTCCCCAGGGTCTGGAGCCGGGAAGGAAGGCTTCGCCAGGTGTAAGACAGAGAGGGATTTGAACCGTCGGGTTCGGAACCGTTGTCCGGCAGATACTAAGTGGTGAGAACTGAGGCCACAGAAGGTGTCTGTGCAAGTGTGAGAAAGAGAGACAACTTACTCTTCGTTGACATTTGCCTACACGAGCCGAATGTTATAAATAGTAGTGTACCTCGGATTAATTGAAGGAAGCAACCCGTGTTTGGTCGAACACACAGCTATTGTGCTCTGTTTATCTGTATTATTAACACTAGCTTCGGAAATTAGCTTTTAAAATTTTTGCAGAGTTGTAACTTGATCAAGGTGGCAAATTTGAATAAATTAGTTCGTCTTTCATCATCTTTTTTTCCTAACAATGAAATAAACTGGGGATAGAGAGAAAATAAAATAATTTGGGGCTCAGGGTTAAGAGAACTTGTACTTGCAGAGGACTCAAGTTAGGCTCCTAGCACCCGTGTGGTGGCTCACCAACATCTTTAACTGGGGATCCGAGGCCTGCCTTCTGACCTCTGAAGGCATTAGCCACAGTCTCGTGGTGCACACATACGCAAGGAAAACATTCATAGACACAAACCTGAAATTTTTTAATGAAATAATTTTAGTATTTTTTAATAAAGTCACTCAGAAGAGAGGCAAAGAATTTGAAGATGGTAAAGGCAGTTGTGCATCCCCAGATAACACATTGCCATTTCTTCTTTAATTTGGCCATCATTTCCCCAAAACAAGAGAAAAGTTATTAGAATAAAACAACCATATGCTCTTCACCGAGTAGCCAGTCATTGTCACCTTGTCACATTTTCAAGATCTCTGTGTTTATGCTTCTTTTTCTGCACTATTTGACAGAGGTCCAATCTGAACCTAGAACCAAGGGCATTTCCTTACCAAGTATGATCCAGCGATCACCCTCAGGGATACACTGCTGCTGTTGTTCAGCATGCAGTCTATAGTAGAAATAAAATTGCACTAATAATTCCCTTCTTTACTCTTTTTTTTCTCCCTTGTTTCTTTGTCTCCGTTCAGTTCCATTCTTTTCTTCAGGACCCAATGAAAGATCATTTATTGCACCAGTTGCCATTATTCCATTATGGTTCTTTTTTCCTTTGTCGTGATACTGGCATTTTGGGTAGGATTAGTTTTTTTTTTAGAATATGCCTCCATTTGATTATTTCATCGTAATTAGATTCAAGTCAAGCGTAGGGAATGTAGTTGGGTGTAGAGCACTTATCTAACATGCCTGAGGCCCTGGGCTCAATCCCCAGAACACATACAAAGAGTCAAGTCAAATACTCTTGGGTAGGAAGACAGCACTTGAGAAACATTTCACATTTTGTTTTTAGGTCATTTTACCAGTCATTAAATATTTTTAGAAACATAATTTCTAAATTACTGCATAAGATTTTCATGCAGTTGTACAGTAATTAGCAATTACCTAGTTGTATGTTTATGTAATTAACAACTCTTTGATACCGCATTTAACTCCTTTGTGGACATCTTAATCTGTGAACTCCCATTTCTGATGTTAGAAGTCTCTAGATACAGAATTACTGGATTAAAGGAGAAACACTGTGCCTTTCTAATGTTGCAAAGCTGACTTTCGGAATGGTTTTGATCTGCTCATAGATGGACTTGCTATGATGGAGGAAGCACCTAAACATGTTATTCTAAAATATAATTGTGGGGTCCAGCAAGGTGGCTCAGGAGGCAGACTGGACTTGCCATTCATGCCTGTTGACCTGAGTTTGACCCCAGGAACCTGTGTAGCAGAAGCTGGGTGCAGTAGCACACATCTGTGATCCCAGCATCCCTATGCCCAGATAGGAGGCAGAAAAAGTGAAACAACCAAAAGCTTTCAAACCTGCTGACCTGGAGTGTTCGGCAGAGCAACATTAAACTAGAGACTGCTTCAACAAGGTGGAAAACTTCTGACCTCTACGTGTGTGTCATGGCACATGAATGTGTGTACTCACACACATACACACTAATAGTAAATAAAATAAAAAGATACCTGTGTGTAATTGTGTAAATATGTTGTCTCTGAGACTATAGGGTAGCAATCTATAAAATAAAAAGTACTTCCTAACACGTTTAAATTTTACTACCTCTGGGGTCAAAATCCTGGGTAGAATTTTTGACGTAATAAAGAAATGTTTCTTGCTTATAAAATGTAAACATTATGAACTTTAACCATTACTTATTTGTGTTTGATTGCAGGTTTTCTCTTAGTTTGTTGCACAAGAACACACCATATGTCACATCTTTTCTCCAGTGTAAATTACTTCATACCACATTGTCAAGGAAAGGACTAGAAGAATTTTTTGATGACCCAAAGAATTGGGGGGAAGAAAAGGTCAAATCTGGTGAGCTGTTTAGAATGGTCTGTATTAATTGATTGAGACTCCATCATCCTAGGATTGTCCAGTTTAGGGTTTCCTTTTAGAATTTGCTGTGGGTTTTAAAGGTTATTCTTATAACAGAAGGAATACTTCCATTGCAGGTTGGTGGGATGTCTAAGAGAAGGGTACTTTGAAAGTGAAAGTGTTAACTAACATGAGGTTGGGATTTGTTTTAGTTGGCTCTTTTTTTTTTTTTTTTTTTTTTTTTTGTTTAGTAATAATTAAAATAATTTGTAGTGACATTAGGGAATGGAAATGCATTTGACACAAATAGTAGCAGTCTTTGAATGCCATTGCCAGTCATGTTACTGATGTCTCCATGTTACTTAATTGAATTCTAGTCATGTAGAATATAATAATTCTGTTCCACATTTTACAGATACAGAAACAGATTTTAAGAGTGGGTAATCAGCCAGGAGCATAGAGCTAGAAGCATCATTTAATGTTTCACCTTTCTCATTCCCATAGGAGCTTCATGGACCTGCCAGCAGCTAAGGAACAAAAGTAATGAAGACTTACATAAACTTTGGTGGGTGTTCTGCATTGAAATGCTACAGTTTAACAGTGGGGTCAAAACTACATCCATGTGATAAAGAATTGGGCAAAATGATTTGTTTCGTGGTACAGTGGGTGATCGTATGAGCTTTGTATAAATATGTCAGAGGATTACATTGAGACAGATGTTTCACAGTTCAACGGCAATAGGAATTTAAAGTTTTTCCGTAAGTACTCTAAGAGTCAGACTGAGGCCATTAAACCAGTAGTGTCAAGAAACAAACTCAGAAAAGAATTGGGACTGGTTGGTCACATTTACACTGCCTGCCCTTTTCCTCCTTCCTTGTTAATTTATTGTTTTTTGGTTTTTCGAGACAGGGTTTCTCTATGTAGCTTTGTGCCTTTCCTGGAACTCACTTGGTAGCCCAGGCTGGCCTCGAACTCACAGAGATCCGCCTGCCTCTGCCTCCCAAGTGCTGGGATTAAAGGCGTGCGCCACCACTGCCCGGCTAATTTATTGTTTAATATAAATGCTGACAGCAGATAGAGACCTTGTAGACACTTTCTTATATTTATAGTCCAAAAGGTGACTCACCTGTTTGTTAAAATGAACCCTGTTAGCCGGGAGGTGGTGGCGCACGCCTTTAATCCCAGCACTCGGGAGGCAGAGCCAGGTGGATCCCAGCACTCGGGAGGCAGAGCCAGGTGGATCTCTGTGAGTTCGAGGCCAGCATGGGCTACCAAGTGAGCTCCAGGAAAGGCGCAAAGCTACGCAGAGAAACCCTGTCTCGGAAGATAAATAAATAAATAAATAAATAAATAAATAAATAAATAAATAAATAAATAAATAAATAAGAATAAAATGAACCCTGTTATCTGCAACTCACAGGAGCCTTAAACACTAGCAAGAAGCTAAGCAGGCTTCCAAGGCAATAAAGTATCAACCATTTAACAAAATGTGAGGCCTTTAATAGAAACAGCATGCACACAGAGAAGACAAAACTGAGCGAGAAGGCTCTAATCGTCTAAAAAAAAAAAATCTGCAACAAGTGAAACATGGACCTACTGAGATCCAGAG